TCAACACAACTTGTAGGTCTGTAGGGTCATAACATCCCATTGAAAGGCAGGATTAACTGATTTTCACCAAGATTATCTTCTTTTCACTGAAACTCTTTAAAACTGTAAACGAACATTTGTAAACAAGGAGTAGGTAAATGTAGCACTGCTGGCATCAGGGTCATAGCTGGATTCAGACTGACGAGCTGAACATCGTGGCCTGAATGCGAGGCTATGCTGTCCTTCATTAGCACAAGCAGAGAGGCAGGCCGAGGAGGCACAAAGTGACCCCCTACTGCCAGAATAACACAGGAGTGAATCCCAAATCTTTGGTGAAACACACAGGAACATCCATGCCGCAGTTTTGTTGCCCTCTGTCATTTTGCAACCTACACTGTGAAACCTGGACTTTACCTACCTGCTGCTATTATCCCAATAATCTGGATCCAGAAAATCTGATTTTGGCAGCAGATTGTAGCTGAGAAATGACCAAGTAGCAGTGACCAGAGCTGAGTTTTATACCAGAGACAGAGGTTGAACAACCTACCTTTATCAGTGGATCACAGTCCAATTAAAAACCGTATTTACTGTTACTAATACTGGAGTAGTGGGAGGAATATAATACTTAATGGAATCACAACTAATAATACAAGAAATCAAGTTTTGATTTCCTAGAGCTGGTACTGAGCCATCTGTTGGAGTTTTTCGTGGAGTAATGTCTGTCACAGGTTCTGCATTTGTTTCCACTACGGTGCACCTGGTTTGGAGCTAAATTCTGGTGCTCCTCAGGAGGTAGTACTAAAATAAAGTACCAGGTACATGAAGGGGGAGGGGGCCGTGAACAGAGAGCAGTCGCCGGTGATTGGTTAAAGGTCAGCGTCTTCACGCGTTAGGCTTTAGTGTTACAAGGACCGTGTGCAGACAGACAGCTGACTGTTAGCGCGGTTCGAATGATTTGCTGCGTCTCATTTTCAGTGATGATGACACAGTAGATACGTCACGGGAATCTCTGACCTGGACAGCCCAGCCTGTCTGCTGTGTCAGCCTGCAGCGATGACTGACGGCAAGTGAGATGATGTGTAGTACAGAAACACAATCCCAGAGGAGGATAGAGTATATTCTAGGTTATTTATAGATTCATCTAGGAGAGGGATTTTTTTTTTTTTTTTTTTAAAGATTTGCCTAACTTCATTTGTGCATATGGATGTGTACTGATTGTTTGCTTATGTAAACAACAAAGTGCTGTATATGTATATGATCAGAAATGAAGGACAAATGCCTGTCAATTCAATGTAACTATGAGAAGTTTAGGACAGCCCCCTGAATTACTAAGATCTCAAAAGAATAAATAAGGTGTTTTCACACTATTAGCTTTTCCATAAACTAGGGTGTTTTCCCAGTGTGTGTGGGTGGGGTGGGGTGGGGACTTTTGGGGAGGTATGGACTCTACTTTTGAGATCAGATGTGTGGTTCGAGTCCCATTTCTCCTGAGTCCACATGTCGAAGTGTCCTTGGGCAAGATGCCAAGTTGCTCCCGGTGGCCAGGCCAGCGCCTTGTGTGGTAGCTCTGCTACCATTGGGGTGTGTGTGTGTGTGTGTGTGTGTGTGTGTGTGTGTGTGTGTGTGTGAATGGGTGGATGGGCAAATTTGTTAAGTGCTTTGTCCTGGTAAGGTAGAAAAGTGCTCTAAGTGCAGTCCATCTACCTATGTATCTTTTATTGATTACATGATTAAATGTTTGGTTCATAAATAGTAAACAATGAAAATTCCCATCAGAGTTCCTTGGTGCACCTTGGTGACATCTTCCATTGTCTTGTTCTGCTCAACCAAAACTCAAAGATGTTCAGTTTACCATAAGGGAGAGTTAAAATATCAGCAAATTCAAGGATCTTGAACTCTGTATGTGTGAAAAGTAATTTAAGGAATGAATCTGTTTATCACAATTGTTGCACATTAATTCCCTTATGGCTGACTATGAATTAACTATTAGTTGCAGCTCTAGACATGTACCAGTGAAGCAGCAGCAGGGATCTAATAATACATGTTTAAAGCTCAAAAAGATAAATAACAGAAGCACCTCTCTGTATGATGCTGTATGGTTTAACAGCACCACAAACTACATGGAAATAAAACCCACTCATCACATCTCTTCAACATTTTCAATAGGAAACCACTATTATGGACCTGAGAGAGAAGACCCATAAAGATATCCTTAATCATTTACATGAGTCAACAAAAAAACCCTCTGCATTATGTGCTGTTTTTTCTGTTGTCTGCATCCCTCCTTACCCACAATTCACTGCTGCAAAGGAGTCACCTTGTCCTACCTAGGTTGTTTATCTCCCAGCACTCGATTCTGTCCACATTGCTCCATTAATTTTTGTCCTCATGACTCTGTCCATCCTCTCACTCTCCACTGTCTCGATATGCACGTTCCTTGGAGTGTGATCTCGTGTCCTTTCCTGTCGCCACTTGTTCACCTTTCATTCGACTCCTCTTTTTGTCCATGTAAAGCCCCAGTTATAGGTCAGAACCTGCTATTCAGGGGCAAAATAACATGACATACTTAAGGCTGATTGGTTCTGATTTGTATCCTTGCAACATGTCTGAAGTCTTGCCTTTGCACTCCTGTCCTCTACCTACCTCCTCCTTTCTGTAAGTCGTGTTGATAACAGGCAGAAACTCAGGACCGTATCCCAGGCATCTCTCTATGTTGTAATAAATTACATTTGTTTTGAACTGATAACTTTACCCTCTTTGTTGCCACTCTGTGCTGCTCATGTTTAGTAAGCAAAGACAAGTGGAGCTGGAGACATTGGCAGAACTGATTTACTTAAATGAAAAAAAAAAACGTGTTATCGTTGCAATGAGGCATTTAAATGCTGCTGGGAAATTCTCCCCTTTCACCTTATAGGATCCTATTGTTTTCACCTGTACTAATATTTTCACTGCAGAGTTCACAAAACTTTGTGTAGTTGTAAAAGTTGGACATTAAACTATTAATGACCCACAATGACTCTGTTTACAAATGCATGAGTTACTCGTATAGAGAGATAACAAGGTATATGTAATGTCATTTTAAAGTAATCTGTGTAACAAAGGGCCTTCATAGTGGGAAAGATACCTCAAAACTATGTTTTATTCTTAACTTAAGCAAGCAATCTACACAATTCATTACAAACAGAAAAACAAATGCATCAACAAACCTCCATCTGTTACCACAGGTTATATTTTGTATAACTGTGCAGAGAGAGAAATATGAAATCAAACATAATTCACATCATTTTTACATTAAATTGTGCTTTTTGCTGAGCACACCTGATGAGTACCTTGAGTCTTTTTTTGAATCATAGTTGGTTTTGGAAAGAAATGATGTAACCTGCTTAAATGTGCAATAAGTGGTATTTTGAATGTTAACATTCAGCCAGATGACACGTGTGCAATAGCTGGAGATCAGAAATTAACACCAACTGTGCAGCTCTGCTTATCTTTAAGCCCCTTGTAGCTAATTGTTTTTGTTCTTTATAGCTGCACATGGACTGTGTGATTGTGCAGCTCTCACAACCCTTCTCTCTGCCATACCAATATATTGCTTTCCCTCCATCTTCCTCTTTCTTTCTGCTTCTCTCCCACCTCCATCATGGTCTTTTTTTTTTTAGATAGAAACGGCTGCTTCTGTCCAGGCCATTTAACTCCCGTACCCATCCTCTTGACACGTGACAGATAAAGATGGTCTCAGCTGTGCGTACATTTGTAGAAGGGCGCAGCTACAATACTGATGTAGCCAGAAATGACATTAGCATCATGCAGCAATAGGATTGTAGCTCTCCCGGTTCACCAGGTCTCTGACAGCTCACTTTTGTGCTCCTTGTGACCGCTGTCATCTTCTCTTTGCTCCCTCTAATAACGCTTTCCTGCTTTGTCAAATATGCCCCGGCGGCTCCTTAGTAAAGAGATAACAGGCACACAACATTATAGTTGGGTGGGGGGGTTAGCTAATTAAATCCTGCATCAGGACAGTACACTAACCTGACTGGTACTGGAGCAACACCCGACAGCAACAGTGATTAAAAAGCTTGTATTTTTCCTGGTTAAATCTAAAAGTTTCCTTGCTGACCCTATTGTTTTATTTTTTTTTTTTTTTTTTTTTATCTCCTTGGAGCATATTCATGTTCCTCAGATGCAAATTCATGCTCCTTCAAGTGCCACACACTGTAGTTTTGGCTCAAATAGCAACAAAATTAACAGTATACTTATTAAATTATTCCATGAATTGTATTCCGAATGAACATTGTGGCCCTACACGGGATGCCTGAAGCATTTTGTCTTGCTAAATTACAGATTGAATAACTTCTGTAATTTGTGTCGTGCTGTAATTTGTAACTGTCTCTGGAAAAGCAACTCAGTCATTTAGTTTGTCAGTGAGTTACAATCAGTTCTGTCTGTTCTCAAGGCTGTGGTGATTTTAGTAAGAGTAAGCTCATAGATTGAGCTCGCTGCCGCCTGTAGTGATGCATTCCCCTTCCACTCCTCTGCTACTACTACTACTCATCACTGTTGGTGCGTAGCTTTATCACAACTCTTTGCTCTTAACCAGCTGCCAGATGGATAGGAGGTCTCCCACCACAATCCCCCCAGCAGTTATATATTTGCTGTTGTCACTGACTAGGGGAGTGCATCTGGTTATTGTTTAGTTGTTTTATTTAGCCAACTTCCTCAATTTAAGGAGAATCAAAAAATGTGGAATGCACTTTTCTCTTTATATTTGACCTTTATTTTACCAGGAAGTCCCACTGAGATCAAGACCTCCCGTTTCAAGGAAGGCCTGGCCAAAATATATATATCGACATTTATGACCAAAATCTGTGACCCATGTTCATGTGTTTGATGTGTTACAGGCTTGAATTTTGGCTTGGTGTTGCCACCCTGTCAAACACACAACTCCATTTTGCTGAGGGATTAACACATCCCCCCCGTCATCCTTTTCTCACCCTTCTCCCCTAATCCACCCATTCAACTAGGTTGACCCATGATATCAGCCTAGAGGAATTTGAAGATGATGACCTGTCAGAGATTACAGAGATCACGGACGAGTGCGGGATGAGCCTCAACTGCAATGGCCCAGATATAAAGGTAAGCTGCCTCCACAGAGAGCTGGTTCTCACAGGATGTTGTGAAATACGCTTCTATTCTGGGAGGAAGGCCATTCAAACATGGTGACTCATTCTATATGTGTTTTATAGTTTCCTTTTTTAGTGTCCATACACAGAGGTGTAACATAGGCTTACATCACCAAAGTATGCCAGGTAGTGGGCAAGTGCCCTCGTTGAGTCCCAGCTGACCGCGGACCTTCAGATGTGCTGAGGTGCTGGGTGGGGTACAGTTTGGAGAATTCCCATAGAGTCTCATGTTTTGCTTTCAGTTTGTCATCTAACTGTTTGCACTTGGAAAAGTCACAGTGGAAAATCTGGAAGTCACTGAACAACCCAGATTGTGATGCTGCTATTTAAGCGTAGTGTCTTTGCCACCCTGCCACCCCCCCCCCCCCCCCCCCCACACACGTTTCATGCCTGCGATACTTGGCAGAATGTGGTCAGGGTATGGATGTCTTTAAATGGACCCAACCCATTTCCTTGTTGCAAACCTGTTTTACGCACAAAGTGATTCTGCTGCTGGTTTTGACTCATGTCACATGTGTGAAGACGTGACTGTCTCTTGTTCTGGCAAGTCTGAGCTCATTAAGTGGTCAGACTCTCCTCTCTGTGGTGTTTTGTCCTGAACAGCTGCTACATTCAGCATTTTTGCCATCAAAGGGAAGAAGCCAGAGACTGAAAGCCTTGACAGACAGTGACAGAGCATATGATTGCCCTGCTGCATCCTGGGTATCTAAATAATTCACACTGATCTGTTTACTGTTTGTTCAAGTCCTCTGAAACTTTGAAGTCAACACTTTGTTGCTGTTTGTAAGTTTGGGGAACCACAAGCACCCTGATTTTATCAGGGGTTTTTTTTGCATGGGAGGGCCATTGTCAAAAGAAAGAGAAGTGTGAAGGTAAATGTATTTTTCTGTCAGATTTCTCTGGTTCTTTTCCCAGTGAAACCATCGTCACCTCCTCCTCCTCCTCCATTCAGAGCCGCTACCATAACCAAGGAAACAGGAGGGGCTTTTGTGTCATTTACACAAGCAGATGAGTTTATTTTTATCTATGTGAGTCATAGTTGATTGTTTTGTGATGCTGTGACCTGACAGATTAAGAAATGCTTCAGTGTTTTCAATAATTTTTTTAGGTCGCAGTTGTCTTCTGTTATCTCGGAAGCTAATTATAGCCCAGCTTATTGAATGTGTGAGCGCCCCGCTGTGTGGTCTCAGTAATGTTTCTCTGTCTTGTCATTTTTGCCATGCTTATTGATTGTCACACCTTTTGTGTGTGCTGTTGCCCATCAGACACAGACAAACAGCCATGCAGTGAGCTAAACACACAGCAGCTGGCATTTAGTGTTGGGCAAAAACAGCAAATTCAATTAGTGATTACAAATCAGAAAAAGACAGCAAAATCAGGCTTCACAAAAGTAGGCAACTAGTTGTTCAACTCATCTATTGCTTACTTGAGTTTTTAATACTATAGATGAGTTTTGCACTGGTGAATCAGCTTTTTCTGTCATCGTTCAGCTCTCGTTGCAGACACAGCTTCATTTCTCTGCTTTATGTTTAAAAGTGCAGTGTTTGACAGAGGTCCAGCCTGTTTAAAAATGTATAAGGAGGTGGTGTAGCTGCAAAACCCTGAGTGGGAAAGGGGTTGTGAACTGTGTGCACTTTGTGCAGAGCCCCCTACAGTACACACACAGATTGGTGACCTCATCAGTGAGCTCCTATCCCAGGGGCGTTTCACAATGCATCTCACTTCCTCAATAATGGACTGTGACATGGGAAGAGCAGCACACGCCCTGGACAGGCGACTGTGTCTGCCTTACAAAGAGGGGGGCGGTGAATGTGTGTTTAGGGGTTTAGAGGAAGGGGTCAGGACGTTTCTGGTGCACTTTTGAAATCATCAGGTCAAACTGGGCTTCAGTTGCATTAGCATTTTCATATTGATTTAAATGCTGTTGCTAGGCAAAAGAGAAAATACATAAACACATTTTGATCGGAATAAGATCATTAAAACAGGATTCATTATTTTTTCTTATAGTGGCTCGTCAGGCACATCTGTTTCCCTAAGACATATACTTCTCAAAGACCCAGGAACTGTCATAATTTGCAGAAATAAACTTTGTTGACTTGTAGCCCTTTTTACCTGCAGGAATTTTTCTAAAGGATATAGGAAAGCTAACCTTGATTTTCAATGGCAGAACCTGCTTCTAACTTTACAGTAGTTTCTATAGCCCCCTAAAAAGTCGTGCTTTGGAGCTGGTACTGTACTTGTAACTTTCCAGTCAAGGAGCTGCCGAGGCACATTTAACAGTGTTGAATGGCACGGGCTAGTAGAAGAACCCAAACAGCCTGTTACAGGATTCATTCACAAAATAAGCAATCGTGTGTTGCCAGTAATGTCAAAGTTAGTTTGTTACTGAATTATAATTTTGCAAAAAATTGTGGCCATGATGATGCATAATTTAATTTGCTAATTGTAGTGAAGCAGACAAATCATTTCCCTCCACTTATTAATACTGCACCGTATATCTCAGTGTCACAACAGGAAACCTGCTAAAGAGAAGAACAATATGTTGATTCTGTGTTTTGTTTCTTAAATAAAACTGCTGTCGTTGTTCTCAGTGTAATTTACTAGACGTGTTTACCTCGAGTTAAATAGCGCTGATTGAAAAGCCATATGTTTTTGACAGTAGCCTAAAACATAGAGGGAAAAAAAGGTTTTCATTTATATATGTGTGTGCATGGCTCTAGTCACAAAGGGTTAAGTAGAGCAGCTCAGCAGGGAGAAAGAGGAAGGTCCTTCCATGCATATGTACAGGACTGAATGGATTAGATTAGCAGTCATTTGCTGTGTGCATGTCATTGGAAATGTCATGTTGGTGTTAGTTATGTTTAGGTGACTGCAGAAATGTCCATATAACCACAATACAGCATCTGCACACACACACACACACACACACACCTTATACAAGGAGAAGATTCAAGGCTTGCTATTCTGTCTAGACTGCCCTCTGTTGTCACAACGTGTTAGGGAACGGAAGAGAGAGAGAGAGAGAGAGAGAGAGAGAGCAATTTCTAAAAAATAAAAAAATGAATCCACTTAAACTCGACCTCTAATGTACAGATTTTGTAAATGATTGAAAATATTTATTTTCTGATTCTAAAAAGGTGGAGAAATGTAAAGAAAAAGGTATGGTCAGCACATATAAGCTTTAACATCACAAAATTTTATTAGGACTTGTGCATAAATCCTTTTATATCTGTTATTGATACTGAAATTATTGATATTTCTGATTTGGTAGTATTGTTTGAAAACCCTGTGGTTCAATAAAGATGAACAATTGTATTTAAAGCTCCCTAAAACACATTAGTGACATTATTAAACTATATTTATAAAGACCAATGTAGACAAACAGCTTTCATTAACCTAAAGAGGCAGGGAGATGTATGGAAACGCCAGCAAAGTAAGAGACAGGAAGCAATAAAACAGGAAAAGAAGGGAGAGATGCGAAAGAGACCTAAGAGACAGAGAAGAGAGAGGGTCCAGCAAAACACAAGAGGAGAAGCATACCTAGCTCCATGGCAACAGTGTGCTCTCATATTCTGCATGTGTTAAAGCTGAAAATACATGTCGTGTTGGTGCTCTCACACACGCACACACACACACCACCCCCATGGATACTGCTCACATCATCCGCACAAGACAGTAGAGACAGAGCTGTTTCATCAACATAAACAAGAGAACCCCTGGGGGGTGTTCTTGATACATGGGTTAACAGGTTAGCCGGGTAGTTTTGCCTGTTGTAAGATGTGTTTAAAGTATGGAGAGACTGACAGGACCCCATAGCCCATCCTGACTCATTCTTAATCAAACGGTACTATTTCAGTTGGAAGGGAAGAATTTATTTAAGTGAACTAAACAGTGAACATATTAGGGGCCAGACGAAGAGGAGCAGTGGTCCTACCACCACACAGTCAGTGTGCACTGCACTGAGATTCCCCACAAGCAGCAGGTTTTTATATTCGGGTGGCATTGTGAAAAATTTAGGAAAAACCTTTGAGCTATGATGTAGATAATTGTATTCTGTTAAAGGAATCTTATGTCCTGTTTGCAATACATCTACACCACATCTTTAACACTTTCAGCCTTTTTTTAAACAGTATTTTGTTATATTTAACCTGGTAGCTGTATGATTCCCTTGGACTGTTTTGATTGGACAAGAGCCATCAGTGTCTTCGGGGCAACAGCATCTCCTCTACCTCCTCATCGTCACTTAGCCCCTTGTCTCCTAGCAACAGGAGCCAGGGCTCTCTTAAAGGGCCCAGTTGTAATTTGATGTTATAGAACCTAAAATGATATAAACGTAAAACAAAGTAAGAGTTGAATGCCACTGCATTTTCTGGTCCTAATCTTTGGTGGGAAAATGTGAATAAAAGAAGAAAGGACAGAAAAGTGTTGCCTGGTGTGTAGCTGTGCTGTGATTACAGGGACAGATACAGCAGTGTGATGATGGTGAGCTGAAAATGGAAAAAAAAAGTGCCATGGGCATCTTCTCGTACAGCTAATCAGAAAAGGGAGTAATTTATGGCTATTGAATAAGTTGGATGGTGGGCAGGATGAGCAAGATGGATGGATGAAGGACTTATGGATAACAGATAGATGGACAGATAATGGAATGACTGTCTAAGCCTAAAATAACTGGTAAATACTGGTAAATGATCATTTGATTTTTCTGGCTGTTACCATTTGACAAAGGCGGCCTGAATGCATCATTACAAATTTATTTCTTGGCAACATTTGGAGGAACATTTGATACCTCTGGAAAGGTTTCTAGCTTTTTAGAAAATAATTACAGTAGCCCTGTCAAACACGCAAGCCTCTTCTTTTTTTTTTTTTTTTTTGAGAGATAGAGAGATGCATGCACTGAGTTAGCTTACAGTCTTCAGACATTAGTGCACAGTCTGCTTCATTTACAAAGGGAAATGCAGCCATTCACCACTGTACAGACATCATATTTAAGCACGATTATAGAAAATAAATACAAGTTTATAATCATGTTGAAATACTTGCATGATTTTGAGTTTGATTGGACTGCTGTTCAGTGAATGAAATGTAAAAAACAGGGTAATGTCAGAGGAGTTTTGTTTACTTCACAGCTCTTATTTCACTGATCTTCTCCCCAGAAATAGTCCAGACTCAGGGCTGTGGTGAATACAACTCTTATGGCAGCTGTTAGGTTGTTGCCCTCCTGTCTCTCTATCAGATCTGGTATAGCTCTTAAAGCAACATATTATTCATATATATTTTTTTTTCTACTTGTTACTTTGATTAATAGCATTTCATCACTGATTCAGGGCTCCCCCTGTGTATAACCCATGGATTTTTTGTAATATACTTTTGCTAATAGACCTGATGCTTTGTTTTGTGAGATTGCCATCCCTAGAACCTTATGACCAGAAAAAATGCAATAAGTACAGCCTACACACACACACACACACACACACACACACACACACACACACACACACACACACACACACACACACGACTCTACAGATTGTGGTCAATTTACAGAAACTATCTCTTTAATGTTTTTAAATACATCTTCTATCAGCATAACAAATATTTGGTTGACTGCTCCAAGAAGTAAAATGCTATTGCAGCTTCAGTGAAGAAACATCAATGGGCCAAATACTTTGCTCCTGATTGGTTAGGGCAAAATAACACCCCCACAAACAGAAAGTGACTACATGGTCACAATGTCGGAATGCACAATGAAATGGTAGTTCAGTCTAAGGCTAGATGAGAACCAAGATGGAATTTATTTTCATCAAAATACACACTTAAATGGCAAAAAGATATGAAACTGAATGTTAACAAAGCCATAGGAGTTTCCATTCTCACTTTATGACTGTATTTAAATGCTGTCATATGGAGACTGAGATGCTGGCAGTAGTGTGTCCATGTCTGATCTCTGTTTCAAGAAACTCAGTGTTGCCAGTGAGCGTTACTGACTGAGGACAGAGCAGCTTCTAATTGGCTGCCTCAGTCTCCTCATGCTGTTCACACACACCATGTCTTTGTCTCTCTTGCTCGTTCCCTGCCTTGACTGACACTGTGTTTCCTCCAATCCCTGCAGGGCCACATGAGACGAGGAACCAATAGCATGTCAGGGAGGGCAGAACTGGGTGCCGTTGGGCAGCTTCAGGCAGAGATGCTGCATTTGGAGCTCATAGACGGCGCTGACGGTTACCGCGGTGAAAAAGAGTCCTCAAAGGCATCCATTATTGCACCCCCGCCAGTCATCAAGGACCCTGCAGCACCTGTTACCATGGATACCTACCGGCCCAAGAGACCCACGACCCTTAACCTCTTCCCGATTGTGCCACGGACACAGGTAAAGCCTGAATTAACCTTATCCACACACACAGCTTGTGACAGATCACTAAATATTGATCAAAGCTGGAGGAGAGGATGAATGTTGTTTCAGTTCAAATTTTAGTCTCTGTGTCTGCCCATCTGTGTTGCCCCTCACATACAAAAATTACATCGAAAAATGGAAATATGAATGGACGACTTGTGTGACATCACCACCGGATTCAATAGAATCAGTTCTCTGAGAGGATGTGTTTATTGGACTGAACAATAGCCTCAGTTATCCAGACAGATTTCTTTTCCCTCAGTGCCTGTCTCTGTTTGTGTTTGAATGCTGCTGAAGTGCTTGTGACTCTTTGTGTTTATATGCATTTGGATGAGGCTGTGTGTGTGAGTTTTAATCACTGTTGATCTTGTGTGTCTCTCCACTTCCTCTTCACACAGCAGAACTCTACACATGTTACAGGTGTGAATGTCTGTACTAAATGCAGACTTCTTCATGTTCGAACGTGGCATGCTTTCCCTTGTTTTTTGACTTTACAATGTTACAAATGTGAATTCTCATCTTAGATGTGACCTAAAGCTCAAAAATGAGGTGTACTTATGTTCTAGTATTATTTTTATGCAGAAGCACCTGGGTTTATATACGTCTCACAAACTCTCCCTCGCAAGACTTTTTTTCTAACAAAATTAATTATTACGTGATAGTTTAAGTATCTCCTTGAATGGGCAAAAAATCCAGGCCATTACATGTTCATGTGAGCTTGCCTGACGTCCACCAGTGCCCTCACCATATTGGAAAAATGTTACATTGCCTTGTTTGTTATGTGTATTTTCAGTAAAGCTTATGTTAAGAAAAAAAAAAAGACATCCACCGGTGCCTTTGTAAAAGCAGAATTTTTTGCCTAATGTTTTCACTACTCGGTGGGACTTAACGATAAGTTTTAAAGAACACACATTGCGTGTCTGTTAATGCCTTGTTTCTGTAACGTTAGAGAGAATTGTTGTAAGGCTGGAGAAGCTACTATGTCAGCATTATGCCAGTTAAAATATGGGTATATAGTATATCATTCTAAAATAACTAGACTATTTGGAGTTATGAGGGGTGCAAAGTTAATCTAGATGTACCCAAGATTAAACATTAAATGGCTGGAAATGAGCAAAATGAGCATGCCATGGGCACTTGAAACAAAAGGTGTTCATTGTAATGGCCCTCTAGAACAACACATAGGACACGTTTTTCTGATCTGACACCTCTTTTGGCAGGATGACACCATTTGTCTGTGTCTTCAAAAACTGTTACAAATCAGTTAAATAAATCCATCCATCCATCCATAATGTGCCAATGCTATGGTTGAGGTTTGGTTAGGTTTATCACAAAAACCACTTGTAACCACCACAAAGTATTTTTGCTAAAATTAGGAAAGCATGATTCAGATTAAAATGACTGCTGTGTTAAGGTTATGGGAGCTTCTGTGTCATGGTTGCAATAAGTTTAGGGCTGAGAAATGATTGTGGTCATGCTTTAAAATGTTGTGTAGAAATGTAAATGCCTGGATTGTAATACTCTCGATATGCAACGTATACAGGAATGTAATGTTAGTGAGTTTTCCCATACTCTGACATACACACACTCCCCCACAGTGAAGGCTGTCAAAATGATCAACCAGGCACTGTTTATATTTATCTGTGCTTTGTTCTTCCCCAGTTCCCATCGGGTGCAAAGAAGCCTACTGTACTCGGTGTGCTTGTGCTCTTGCGTGTGCGTGTGTGTGTGTGTGTGTGTGTGTGTAAGCTGTCAGAACTGGAAAGCATAAAGGAATTAATTGCGCTGGAAGCTCCTTCTTCTTGGGAAGTTGGTCATCCTCTTGGGATGTCTTTTCTCTCTTCACAGAGCTAAAACAACAAAATCTGGTTTAAAATATTTCAATGTAAAATGGTGGAGGTTTCCTGGAAGTAGCCTTTGCATGAACTGTGAAGACATGAAGCAACAGACCACATATTTTAATATAGCATCCATGGACAGTGGATGACAGGGTCCTTGATTTATAAACCATTAGTTTTCTTTCTTTCTTTCTTTAACATACAGACTTAAAAAAAACAAATTGAACTACCTGGTATTACCTTTACTTTGTAGACTGCTATGAAATGTTTATAGATATTTAGTATTGAATTCAGAAATGTTAATTGGCTAATAGTAAAAATTGTGTCAGTGGTAAGACTCTAACTTGTTGCTTATGTTATGATTAGAGACACTAGTTTTGTTTTAGATTTTCTTTGTTCTACTGCAGAACAAGATGGGTGAATAGATAACTGTCATTATATAAAATCATTGTGGACAATGGAATAATCTTCCCACAGATCATAAGTTAAGTTGATAACATCAGAGAGTGACTATAAAGATGAGTTCCCTGTCATTTCTAGCCTATTTTATATCATTAACTATACCTGCAACATCAACCAGACTGGACTACATCAGTTAGCTGTTATATATTTGTGCTAAAGAAATGATGACCATGATCTGAACAATATACTTTGTGGCTATGTGGTATTCTGGTCCTTTTCTTATGGTACATTCACACATACATATTCAACAAGCTGGACCGGTGACAGCTGCCATTCGTTGTCAGTGAGACTCCTGCACCCCATGTGGAGCTAGACAGATTCCAAAACCAGCCATACTATGAGGGTGTTCGCATAAAGCCGACAAATGCTCCAGTTTTATGCAAATATCCTCTGATGCAGTGCGAGCGACAGCTATAGTAGGTGAGGGCCGATCGCAGTCACATTGGTTCCAGAATTGTTTACTACTCGGTTCCACTATAAGGAATTTTAAAGTTATCATTGCAGCCTCCATTTTCCCAATTCTCTTCACTGTGTCTATATGTTTCTGGGACATAAAAAAAGAAGAATGACGTGGAAACAAAATGCTGGCAGACGTACGTATGTTGGAAGGCAACTGTCCAGTCTGAGCAAAGAATGTAAACTATGCTCTCAGCAGAGCACGCTCCCAGAACTGCAGAATCACCAAAGGCTGCATACAGCCAACTACTTTGAATCCATATGTGAACATACTGTCTGTCTGATGATCCTTTATGGATTTTTCACATAAGTAAGCCTGAAATGTACTGTGCATCGCCAAAATAGGTTTATAAGGAAGGTAAAGTGTTTTACATTGGATTTTGATTCTCTAGCGCACCAGTACAGTAACTGAGACACTACAGCTCTACCAGCTCCAACAGAGCTGAAAGGGAAAACTGAGGTTTACCCAGGCAGTGCAAACAAAACTCAAATGAGATGAGATAGAGCAGTGCTGGTATTTTCCAGGCAGTCTTTCTCAGACTGAGGACTGTAAGAAGAGAGAAACGGAGATGGCATGCTGGGCTTCTGTTTTCAGGTCAGTGGAGCAGTAAAGATTCAACATGGACCTTTAGCTCTGCATCATTTAGCAGTAAGTGACAGAGTTGTGTTCAAACAAAAGCAGCTCTGGATGCTGATCAGGAGCAGAGGAGTGAGACTTTTGGAAAAGCAATATTTTTAAATCTAATAATCTGCCTAGTATCAGAGAAGGTGAAAAGTCCTATGAAGCATCAAACTGTCATCCATCCATCTATTATCTACATCACTTACCCTGAACAGGGTCACTGGAGCCTATCCCAGCTGGCATTGAGTGAGAGGTGGGGTCGCCAGTCTAACACAGGGCTGACACTTAGACAACTACATACACACACACACACACACACACACACACACACACGTATCTTTGGACTGTGGGAGGAAGCCGGAGTGCCCGGAGAAAACCCATGCAGGCCACAGGGAGAATATGCAAAGCTCCACACAGAAAGGCCCCGTGTCAGCCCAGGCTCAAACCCAGAACCTTCTCGCTGTGAGGCGACAGTGCTAACCACCACATCACAGTTCCGCCCGCCTCACACTGTCATGATACATGGTCAGAGACATCTCCTGAAGCCCCTGCAGTGTTGTCTTGTCTGTATGCCTAAGGTATTCATTTTGAAAGCTGAACCATCACCTCAGTCTCAAGTTACTGCACTCTGGAACAGGTTTTCTTCAAGGACCTCTCTGTATTAGCTGCATTCCTCCTTCACTCAATTGTGACCATTCTCCCTGTCCCTGCTGCTGAGAAACTCCCCCATAGCATGATGATGCCACCACCGTGCTTCAGTGCAGAGTTTACCTGGGTGATGAGCAGTGCCTGGTGGTCTCCAGATAATAAGTGCTTGGAGTCCTGCCCAGAGAGCTACATTTTTGTCTCACACCTTTTTCCTCAGTTTTTAATTGCAAAGCAGAGCAGCTCTCGTGTCTTTTACTCAGTGTCTTCTGTCTAGTCATTCTGCCTTAAAGGCCTGATTGACGGAGAGCTACTGAGATGCTGAGCTCTCCCATCTCTGCAGAGGATGGGTAGGTCTGAACTTCCATTTCACAATTATTGAGTCCACTGAACTACTGGTAACCCTTGAAACTTTAAAAATTCTTTTATACTCTTGCCCTGATCTATGCCTCACTGCAATTTTATCTTGGAAGTCTACTGAGTGTTCCTTGGACTTCATGGCTTGGTTTTTCTCCTGCCATGCAGTGTCAGCTGTCTGCCTTTCTAAACTACTCTATGTTCAGTCAGTTCAGTTTGCCACAGGTGTCCTCCTGTTGTGTTGTAGACATCTCACGGACAATGGAAACAAACAGGATCCACCTGACTAGAGTACAGAGTGCTGCAGCAAAGTCAAACTTTAATTCTGCTAAATTACAAGTCTGAGCTTATTTTTGTTGCTTGTCTTTATAACTTAAGTCATCTGCAGTTTATTTCCTACAATATTTTCAGTCAACAATGTCATGATGATTTTAAATGTAGGTGTTGCAAAATGTTCAGTTGTTCTTTATTAGTGTGCACTTGTGCTGCCCACAGCACACCTACTGCTTTGAGTGAGGATCTATTGTAAAACAAACTTGTGCTACTCATATCGGTGCTGCCGTCTCCCACCTGTTGATTCACCCATTACCATGACAACGGCTCTGTCTCCGCCTGATGCACTTAGATGAGAAGTGAGTCATGCAGTGGGTGGTTGGAGGAGGAGGAGATGATTTTATTTCAGACGACACTTTGTCGTCACAGGAGTTTCCAGTTCTCTCTCCATCTGTTAAAATCTTTATCATCTTACTGTCTCTCCATCTCTTATCCAGGGCTACATATCAAACTTCAGTAATTTTCTGATACTGACTGAAATGTCTCTTCCACAGAGTCAAATGCCAAACTCTGGCATCAAATGTTGGTTAGATAATCATATTTGAAGTAGTTTTTGAAGTTGGTGGTGAACTAACTTGAACTCTGGTATATCATCATATCTAAGTTGACTTGGCAAACATTGGTATATTTCCACATCCAGCAGTGAGAGAAAAATACTATTCATTCATTGGCAGTAGTATTTGTGTCCACCTGCCAGATCCAGGTTCAATATTAATTATTAAAGTCATTAAACTGTTCTGTAGTACATTTAAATTTTTCTAACGAGTGAAGCAAGAAAGAAAAAAGGTTTGGGGGTGAAATTAAAATTTAAATGTCATTGGAAAGAATGAAAGAGGCTCTTGAGAAGCATTGTGACTCCCTGAAAAGACTCTCTCGCATATATCAACAGCTCCCCCTAAAGAGACCTCTACTGTGTGTGTGTGTGTGTGTGTGTGTGTGGAGCCTTGTTTTTACTTTTGGGGATGGAACACTGGGAGCACACTGCTTTGCAGGAACCGGAGGCTGGGCCGCACCACTAATTCATCAAATTTTACGGAAATGATGAGGTGTAAGGTTAGAGCAAGTGTCCGTTCTGATTAAGGTTAGGGTATGTCTCCTGGAAATGAATGTAAGTCAAGCTACAGACCCTGTAATTGACGACTGCAAGGGTGTGTGTGTGTGTGTGTGTGTGTGTGTGCTCCCAGTAGTTTGGGTAAAAGGCCTGGTTCCCTTTAAATGCACACCACGGAGCACTGACAAAAGAATCCATTCTAATTCAATAGAATAAAAGCTTGGTGTGTTTGTGTGTGTGTTTATGCATGCATGCCTGGTATAACGCACACTGTGGAGACTGAAACCTGTTGTTGACTTGCACTATGGGAACATGGCCTTCCTCATGTGGGCTAAACGCTGCTAAATCATTAAATTATAGGGTGAGACTCTGGTTTAAGGTTAGAGCAAGTCTCTCCAGCAATGCACAGTAAGTCAATGTAAAGTCCCCACAGGGAATGAAGACAAACGTGAAGTGAGACCGACAGACAAAGAGGGACAAAAAGTTGTGTACTTTGAGCTTTGGGATCCAGCAGTCTCTCTCTCTCTCTCTTTCTTTCACCCACTTGCTCTTCCTCCCTCCCTTACTTCCCCTCTCTTGTTTCTTAAAATGTCTTTCTTCCGTTTTTCTGCATTTCCACAGGACACATTAAACAACAACTCCTCTGGGAAAAAATACAGCTGGCAGGAGAAGGTTTCGGGCTCATCCTCACCTCTTAAAACAGGTGAGCTTTTCTTTCCTATCAGATCTTAACACCGTGAAGCTAATATTTTAGTTTAACTGTCTGAATGTTCCATTGATGATAACCAGAAGGTGCAGGCCAGAAAGCTGTTTCTGATATTATTCATCCTTATACTACAAACACAGCAGCTGGATGTTTGTGCGACTTGGTTGAGTCTGACAGGTTGTGTATCTCTGATCCTCAGGACAGTGTTAAAGTTTTTATGGTTCATGCTGGGCTAAGTGTCACTAGCTGAGGCTGTGTGTGTCTGTGTGTGTGGGTGTGGGTGTGTGGGTGTGTATTGGTCAACTTGGAGCTTATCTACCAGGGAACTGTCATAGCTCTTTTGAGGCAAGACTGACTCACTGCCAGCAGCTCGTCATTGTTGGAAAAGTGACCCTACATACATATATAATATACTGATTTAAAGTTTTTGTTTTAAAGAGTCACATGAAAATTCAGTTAAATTTTAATTGCACCTCAAAATGATTCTCAACGGTCTGTGTGCCCACACAAGGAGTTTCTGTTTTGTCTTTTAACAACTGCTCCTCTTGTAGGAGGAGATAATTCCTTTCAAGTAGAGACAAGACAGTCTGTCCCAGTGTTGTTCTGAATTGGCCTTTTCTGTAAATACTGGTGTGTAACCACTCTGTTAGAATTCACTTGTTATTTGCTGTCATGTAAGCTCAGGTATCGGTGCTGCATCCACAGCAAAAACAAAATTCATGCCTGGATTTTCTGGTGATGGATTATGACATAACAAACCAGTCACTTTCCCCTGGCTGCATTCTCTGAATTTGATGAGTAATGGGTATTTAGCTGCATAATCCTGGCATCTGTTACCTAACCATTTTCACATTTCTCTCTTCCTGTTTGTGCTCCGTCTGTGCATTCGCTGCCACATCTGCCTTCATGTCTGTTTGTGCACTTGTTTACCGTTCATGTCTCCATCATGTGTATTTGCACTGCATGTATGTCTGACCTTTGTGCATTCTTATGTGTCTTTTGTGTGTGTGTGTTTCTGTGGCTGTGTGCCTGTTGTTGTTTGCGTCTGCTCTTCCTCCAGGTGATCTCACCCCTCTACGTGAGCATAGCTGTCTGAGCGACGAGGATAAGGTGCAGGGTGGGGCGGCGCAGACCAAAGACTGTGGTACTTCCACCGACGCTCCTTGCAGACACAGACACACATCTGGACACTCTACAGTGGCTGTGACACGCTCCAAGGATCAGGAAAAGCCACCCGCTCCACCACCACCACAGAACTACACACCAGCTCCTCTATACCCAGCAGGAAAGACAGATGGAGGTGGGCACCACCGGGAGAGAATCCGCTACCACACGGATGTTCATCTAGAGCCCACAGAGGAGATCTATCTGACTCCTGTGCAGCGTTCTGCCGACCCCTTGGAGCCACCCAACACGCAGGGTCGGCCTTTCCTCTCACAGCAGACTGAACAGGGCCGCATGTCCATTAGCTCTGATACAGAGGGCCCACCTCCTTACCAGCCACTCCCAGACCAAACAAACCCCTCTATTTATGAGGAGGATGAGGTCTGTGTTCCCCCACCTTCATATGCTTCCTGTGTAGAGTCGCTCATCACACCCCCCAGCGCAGCTCTTTCAGTTCGCTCCTCCCTCATGCTGGATCCCAGCCTTAAGAGGGCAGGAACAGGGAACGGGGCCTTGTTGAGAGTCGTCAGTGGGTCGTCAGTGGAGTACGTGGATGCCACTGATGACAGCTACTGTGGGGAGGATGAGGACGTGGACAGGATAATAATGGATAGAAGGATGAGGAAGGGGGGTGGGAAGGGAGAAGGCTGCAGCAGCAGCAGAGCAGCTCCACTAAGGACTTCCATGAGCTCAGAGGCCAGCGGCCTTTCATATGACTCAGTCAAATACACACTGGTGGTGGATGAGCATGCTCAGCTAGAATTGGTCAGTCTCCGGCAGTGTTACCAAGGCTACAGCGATGACAGTGACTCGGCCACTGTCTATGACAACTGCGTCTCCTCTCCCTATGAGTCAGCTATCGGGGAAGAGTACGAGGAGGAAGATGAGGAGGAGGATGATGGAGCTCGGATAGGAGGAGTGAGGAGAGAAGCCACGGCTTGTTTGTCCGAAGACTCTACTCCTGAGGCAGACCTCCACTTCTCCAAAAAGTTCCTCAATGTCTTCATGAACGGACGCTCCCACTCCTCCAGTAAGTTACATCCATGATAATGATGACTCTTCTTCAGCAGTATTTCATGTTCAGGACAGGTTGTGTTCGGTCTGCTAATGTTGTTTAGATCTATCGAAAGGTGGATTCTTTAATCGGTCAGTTTGTCTGTGAGCAGGAAGTACCAAAAGATCACACAGTTTGAGACAGATTGTGTGTTTTGTTTTGTTTTTTTTTGTTTTTGTTTTTATGCACTCCTGCTGGGTTTTCATGGGAATACTATTTTGTGTAGTAAACATTATTACATTATGAAAGGTGAGCACATGAAGAGTCTGTCTTGGGAATTGAGATTTTCCTGTCACATGACATGTTTAGAGCTGGGTGAGAAGTTAGTATTATGATGTATCAATTTCTACTGGAATCACATTTTGATTGTGTTATTGTTATACCATAAGAAAATTTGTCTGAATGCGGTCACCTGCATTTTGCTGTTTTGCATTATATCAGACATGTGTTGAACTTGTGTTAGTAGTGACTAATGTAGTCTTGGGCCGCTGGACTTAAGAGATGAGGAGCAGACTACAAAGGCCTGGCAAATTCCCTTCTTCTAACTCCACACTCTAAGATATTGATTCTTCGTGTTGTAGTCTTCAGCCCCGGTTGATGTTGACTCAAGCTACATCATTTGATGCAATTTATTAGACTTTAGACTGCTCCATCTGGAGCCAGAAAAACCTTTATACAGCTTCCTCCCACAAGACCTGTAAATCTGTGGAGTACCCCTCTAACACACACTTATCACCAGTAACTATAGGTCTTGCCAAGTCAATTGAGAAGGGTCTGCCTGCAGGCTGACAGGAAGCATGGAAAGCACAAAATAGAAAGTATTCATCTGCCAAGTATGAATCATCAAAATCCTTCTGATCTTTAGATTTGACATATGTGAAATGGTTGGACTAGTGCTGGTGCTACAGGAAAGCTCACTGAGTCACCAACAAACATCATCTTGAGGCCTTAAATATCCTGCGACTGGTGTGTTGATGTGCTCAGAGCAACAGTTTGTTGGTTTTAAGTTAAGAGTTGCAGCTGTCCCAGACTTTTACCTATGGGGCCTCCTACAAGAAAGTTCAGGACAAAGGTGGATTCCTTTGATGGAAGATTGTAGGATGTGCTCTCATCTTATTGACACCTCAGTGGGAGGACCTGAGACAGGGTGGAAGACGGAGAATAAGAGTGTCATCTACAGTGCTTGTCTGGTCATTTCTGATAATAGCCATTGGATGCTGTCTCCGTATGTGTTTAACAGACCGATTAGAATCACCACTATCTGAGCAGTGCAGGAGGGGGTAACAGATGTCACAGAAAAAAAGCACACTATGCCTAATGAGAGTGTGATTCATTGGTCCTAAAGAATGCGCATGTGCTTTAAAATAAACAGTGTGCCCTACTTGTGTTTAATATTTGTTAACGCTTGATGTTTTACATTTTGAAGGCAGTCATGCATCTTATGACATTTTCCCTTTTAATTTAGATTCCTTCATCTCTTTTTCTTGTTTCTTGGTATTCGAGGTGCAGAGTCCTTTGGCTTATACTCGTGTGTCATAAATGGAGAGGAGAGGGACCAGAGCCACAGGGCTGTTTACAGGTGATGAAGAACTACACCACATCATCAACAACTTTCACCAACATCCCCCTCATAATCAAGTAAAGTCAAAATCTTAGAGCCCACTATTACAAGGCTTCATAATCTGTACAGCATAACGCTCCCTCTGTCTTAGACCCTCAGACTGATTCAGGAAAACTCTCCAGAAACCCCATTTAATGGGGGAAAATGCACAGTTTCTCTTTGTTTCCTCAGTAACAGTCACACTCCAGTTGGCAGCATAGAATTAGGCTGCAGCTGCTGTTGAAGACTTCAGGCTGATGAACGCATACTGGGAAGGCAGGGGGGCAAAAAGAACATCAATGTCATCTGAAAAGCAACAGCTCTTTGCATTGACAGGTCATGTGACTGTGTGGGATATTACCCATGCATAGCTAAAAGCCAGGGGAGCTTATTACAGTGTTCCTTGAACTTAATGGTTTTGCAATGTATATATGATTCTGTATTTCTGTAGTGCACCTATATTACCATTACCACCACATCTGCCTAGTCAGCACCAGGCTAGTTGCAAGTATTACATTTCTGCCAGTCTTTGAGTAACGAGATTTAAAAACATTGTTACATATATGTGAACTGTGGGATGCCTCCTGGGCAGCCTGAAATCATATTTAAAGGTAACTTGTGAAACCAATATTTTGAGTATCAGCTATAGTAATAAATGTCATCTATTGTTCACAACCGATGTAAACTACTTGCATTGTTGCATGCCACAGAGGTAAACAGCTAACTGTGCTAACAACAAAAGTAAGAAATGTAAGCATTCAGAATATCTTCAGTGATATATAATAGTCATATTTAGGGTGCAGATGATGTATAAGGTGATCATCCAGCTCAAAAAGTCTGTGAGGTCCCTCAGATCTTCTGCATAACTACATCTGTCTCATCAGGTTTGTCCCTCGACACGATGATGAGTTGGAGTTGGAGGTAGATGATCCATTGCTGGTGGAGGTCCAGGCGGAGGATTACTGGTACGAGGGCTACAACATGCGAACTGGTGCCCGTGGGATCTTCCCTGCTTACTATGCTATAGAGGCGACCAAAGATACAGAGAGCTATAAAGGTACTGACATTAAATATATAAGACTGCCTGTGAATGTGTTTGTAAAGAGGCTGCAGAGACAACTTATCCATTCCTGTAGTGTTCACATTACCTGCTAAAGTGACCCAGGACCTTTTTTCCTTATAAATGACTCAGATCTGATCTTTACACAAATGTGTGAACAAACCCAATCACATTGTTTCAAATCAGATCTCAGCCACTTTAGTATGTGCCCCAATTAATATCGGATGTTAATGTAACCACTGTCAAAACGGTCAGATTGGAATTTTTGACAGTGCTCACAATAGTCAGAGATTAATTTTTTAACGTCTCACTCCTCTGCACATGCACATATTGCCTGCTGTTACAATTCATTGTTGGCAACTCACAGAGCAGTAAAAATAAACACGGAGGCAAGCAGCTGGTAACAAGTGTAAAAGTATAATGATAATTGAGTAAAAATACTAAACGAGCACTCAGAGCGTAACAAAAGTAAAGTTGTAACATGTGATATGTAGTCACAGTGGAGAAGACATAGGTGGACAAGTACTAAACCTGTGCTACTGATCGACGCCCTACTGGTTTGTCTTTCTGTTGTGGCAAAACTACATATTTTCTCTTTTAAGGCACTGCTAAAATCGTACCTTGGTTTTAGAGCTTCTTTGTCATGTTATGTTATTTCCCAGGCTCCTAGTTTATACGTTTGTTTCTTTGCTGTGCAGTGAAGAGCAGTGAATGGATGGACAAGTACCGGCTAAAGTTCCTCGGCTCAGTGCAAGTGCCCTGCCACAAAGGAAACGATGTTCTGTGTGCGGCAATGCAGAAGGTACAAGGTCCATGTTGTCTCCACATTTGTCACAGATATCTATCAAACAACTTTGGTAGAAAACATGTTACAGTATAATGCAAGCAATAGGAGGAACTACAGCAAATTATGTCCAGTATCTGACATATATTAGAACTGCAGAAAACATGCTTTGTAGGGCACTGTCAACTTGGTTTAGTATTACTTTGATATTGTCATTTAGTATAGAACTGGGTTACAACTTTTGAGCTTTTTACATTTTAGGAATAACCTTCTACATTTGTTTTCCAGATTGCCACCAACAGAAGGATGACAGTCAAGTACAACCCACCTTCCTCCTGCATCCTGGAAATCAGTGTGAAAGGCATCAAGCTTGCAGTTCAAGAGAACTATTACGCTTGTGACAGAGTGAGACTCTTAACCTTCTCTGTCTAATGAAAAAGAAGTTCAGCTTCCCGTTTAACAATTGAGGCATGTTGCCCCCATGTAACTTTCAATAGACACTGCAGGCAAAGATTTTAGGAATAAAGTAGATTTTCTAAAATTTTATATCTAGATATCCTATAATAACACTTGGAGTGGTTTTTGTAAGGGAGTTATAATCCTGCCTCAAAAACAATAAAGTGACTAAGCAAGATTACGTTTAACAATAGGAAATATGAATCACTATGCTATTTTTGACACTAAAAAGTTTGACAATATTTACACATATAAGGGACTACAGTCTCACACTTAGAAGCATTCAGTGTGTCAAAGATACCAGGAAAAGGAAGGATTAGGAGAAATAATGACAGCCAGCAAGCATTTGTGCTGTGGAGATCCAGTGGGGGGACTGGAGAACATAGGTTGTACAGAGTAGCTAACGGTGTCTCACAACGATACCGCATATACTTAGCACACATTGCTTCTCACGATTTATATCATTTTGCGTACACATTTTGACAATATTATTATCTTTGTCGTGGCTAGAGTGTAATGCCGACTAAATTAATTCAGACAAACCATCCCAATTTAAAGGATCATTTAATATTACAATTATTCTGAATAGAGTAGTATTTAAACACATAATCTTGTAGTTAGGGAAACAGAGAATAGACTCTCCTCCTGCAATGTGATAGATAAAGTATTAGATAAGAAGATTGTCAAAAGCATCAGTCCAGTCAGTTGTTGTTGGTCATGAGTCAGTCTTAGTTCAGCGTCCCCCCAGGCCGGCTGGGTCAGCGTCCCCCCACAAAGTATACTCTCCCTGTCACAGTAGCATTGTCATCCTCTCTTCTTCTCCTTCTTCTGCTCTAACCCAGCTTTTTATCTGCTCGCACTTACACAGCCCTCCATGGCCTGCGCCATGAAGACGCGGTCCCATGCCAGCTACACACACACACCTTCTTCCGAGCATTGTCTAAAAATGTCCAGTACATGAACTTCTAGGTCGCATTGACGGTCGCTTTTCCTTTTTCTAAACCTGAACAGAGCACACGAACAGTTCCCATAAGACCCATAGGTTAAACAAGGGGGACACAGCCCAAGATATTCTTGCCTGCGCCAGAAACAGATCAAGCTTCCGTACACACTTAGCTCAGCCTTACATTCTTACATAACTATCACAAATAATATCTAAATATGAACTACATACTGTTACCTCTGAAACCTTGTTTATATTTAACCACTACATCTTAGCATTAGAAAACAAGACTTACTGTTCAGTGCACAGTTCACATTTTCATTAAACTGGATCAATGACCAGCAGCAGTATGAGAAGCTGCTGCTGACGGTGGAACTGATGAGATAGTGAAATAATCTGTAGTTGACTATCAGTTTACCTGCTCTGATTTTTTTTGTTTGAATATAAACTGTATGAACATGATGAAAAATTCCTGACATAATTGCTTAAAGTGCAAGGTCATATATTCAGATACACTAGTGCAAGCATATTCAGTTTACAGAGAAAAACAGAAAACCTGAGACATCAGAAAGTCTATGTGTTCTGTATTTTTGCTACAGCATATTACTTTAATGATCTAATGACTTATTTCAGCTCTAGATAAGAGTTAAACTGTCACCTGTAGTAATTGTGAATATATTATACATTTACGTCTGAAATTGGTTGGCTTTGGGAGAAAAAATAGCATTTTAACATTCTGCTTGTGTGGGGATGTGAAAGTGCAGTATGGGGTAGCCAGTCAAGCCCATCAGGAAGTACGCTGACCTACCACTTTAATAGGCACACCTGTACAATTGTATGCATCTCAATGTTTTAACACTTCTGCCTTAACATCTGTGTTTATGAAGCTCAAAATGTTTGTTGTTGGTGAAATTATAAAATGTATACATTATATTCAGAGGTGTTCCTAATATTCTGACCCTCTCATATACAGTATGTAGCTGGTGAGCACAAAAATATAGACACACCTCTTATTTTAAGATGTTTAATTACTTTGTGAACATGTTAGATGTGCTGGACAGGTGGAAAATGTGTTTTAAAAGGTTACCGTAAAATCCAGACTATAAGCCGCTACTTTTTTCACAAGCTTTGAAACCTGCAGCTTAAACAACGATGCGGCTAATTTATGGATTTTTACGGGCTAACAAGCTTCATGCTGCCAATACATTTAGCCTCGTCACATCAGACAGATGAAATTACCGAACAGTTCACAGTGGACCGATGAAAATGTTTGAATTAAATCAAATGCACTCACACTAAATTCTTCAGATCAGTCATTTTGTGCTTCATGCACACACCCTCATCATGGAAAACACAAAGAAATGCATATGATGCAGCTTTCAAGTTAAAGGCAATCAATCTGTTGAAGAAGGAAGCTGCTGCACATAAGCTTGGCATCAATGAATGGATGGTGAGACTTTGGAGAAGGCAGCGTGAAGATCCAAAAAGACGACAAAAGCTGTGTAACATCTTTGTGTAAATATCTCATGTTACAACGTGGACACCTGCGGCTTATAGACAAGTGCGGCCTATATATGTACAAAATTTTTTTTCTTCTTAAATTTAGTGGGTGCAGCTTATAGTCGCACCGGTCAATAGTCCGGATTTCAGGTATTTCATGAATTTCACTACAGTGTTATTCACTGGTTTACAACTGAGGTGCCACCACAGTAATTGCAGCTTGTCTACTTCTGCGTATGCGGATTTGTCTGTATGCATAATTCATGTGTGATCTTTGCATTCACCTTTAAAACTCACTCAATTGGTATTCACCCAACTTGATAAATTGACGCCTCTGTGTCAAATAACTTCTAATCCATTTCAGAACCATTCCAATGATCCCATATTTTTCTAACTTGCCCATTAATAATTCATGATTGATTGTGTCAAATGCTTTTTTGAGGTCAATAAATATTCCCACCGTGTATTTCTTCTCATCCATAGCACTTGTAATGTCCTCCATCAGGTCGGAAAATGGCAAAAGATGTCGATCGGTTCGACCTAAAACCATATTGGCAATCAGAGAGGATTTTGTTTGTGGAATAACCTTTGCTATTTTCATATTATTGGGGAACTGACCAAGTCGAAACGACATGTTAAAAACATGGGTTAATGGTTTGCATATCCCCTCAATTACCCATTTAACAGTTGTCATAGTGATACCATCACTATCACTAGATGTTTTGTTACCACATTTATTCACTATCTCTATAATTTCCTTTTCAACTATGGGCTTCAAGAACATAGAACTCATGTTCCTTTCGATTGTATTATTATTTATAGTGACGGATGTATCATCTGTACAAATGCTTCTTCCTAAACCAGGACCAACATTCACAAAGAACCTATTAAACTTATCAACTGCATCCTCCATTCTGTTGACCGGTGTGTCATTATTCATAAAATATTGGGGGTAGTTACTCTTGCTGGGACTATTTCTAATCAATTTATTTAATATATTCCAAGTACCTCTCATGTTGTGTGATGTAGAAGATAATTATCAAAGTATGTAATTATGTAAGAATGTTAACAGTTTGTAATATTTTTTAGTATATCACTAGAGTGGTGTAGAACAAAATTATCTATGTAGAGATACTGCTTGCAAACCAATGATGGTAAGATGATGTCATGGGGTAGGACTGGATAAGTCTGACTTCTTCCTACTTCGTTCAAGCATGTACTAGGTATAAGCAAATTGATAATGGATTTGTGGATTTGTGTGAAATTATGTGTTGACATATTGACTGTCGTTACATGTCTGAAAGAATAAATCAAATCAAATCAAACTGTTGAGCAAAGAGCCATCTTGATTTTAAACATTTATTCTGCCTGTGTTTTCTGTGCCCTAATCACAGAGGAACGAGTGCAGTCACTTCTTCCAGCTAAAGAACATCTCTTTCTGTGGCTATCACCCCAAAAACAGCAAGTAAGTAAAAGCAGTAGAATTCAGCCATAGATCTGACCTCTTGACTGTTGATCAAATGTGAAACAGCAGTTTATTAATAGTACACAACAGAATGAATTAAGCATTCAATAAGTGAAAGTGCTGACTATATTGAATTCCCTTTTTTGGAGTACCTTATCTGTTTTCTCTGTTATTTGTTGCAGGTACTTTGGTTTTATTACAAAGCACCCAGCAGACCAGAGATTTGCCTGCCACGTGTTTGTGTCTGAAGACTCCACCAAACCTCTCGCAGAGTCAGTAGGGTGAGTTGGACAGTCTCTGTGTTAGCTCTTAGACATGGTTTAGGGATGTTCCAATCAGACTTTTTAGTGTATTACTTTAATGTGATTGGAAAGAGCTGATCTAATGCAGACTGATCTCTTCTTCTTCTTACAAACTGCTGTAAAGCCCAGCACTTCAGTGAATTTCTTAGCTCTACTTCATAGGCTTAAGTTGGACGTATTTCATCTATGCTGATCAGTCCACCTAATTTCATATGTAATTAGGATTGGTGATTCATTACTCTAAGTAGGTTATTTTAGTTTGTTAGATGCCTGAAAACCAATTTAACTAGTAAATAGTTTTGCAATGGGGATCCCAGATTTCTTTAAATGAATTGTAATGTTTAAAATTTTCTGAAGGTTTACAGTTTTCTGAAAAGCTAGCTTCTGTTGGGTATAAAATTGAAATTTTTTGTTGGCATGTTGTAGCATGCTAACCCAAGGGCCTCGCTACTTGCATTAGGGGTCCCGCTGCAGTGCTTAAGACCTTGGCAAACTATAAGCTTTTTATGTGGTTTGTGCCTTTAAGGGAAGTCTAGCAATGACTTACATATTTTTGTTTTTTCAGGAAAGCCTTCCAGTTGTACTATAAAGAGTTTGTGGAGTTTTCATGCCCTACAGAGGACATCTACCTGGAATAGCTCTGCCCTGCCCTTCAACCACAGCACTGTACAGTACAATGTATCATAAATCAACACTGCATGAAGGACAGACGTATCTAAAAATCTTTATTTAATAAATAAAATAAGATTCACATATTTGACCAACAAGCAGGAAAAGAAGGCTCAAGTATTAGAACTGAGGTTTGGCAAGAAGAGATGAGAATGAGCGAAAGGAGAGGAAAATATGCAAAATGGAGTCAGTGATGAGATAATGATCACAGGGTATTGGAAAGTACAAACATTGTATCACCCCAGCCTAGGCACCGCTGGTTAGCCTGTAGCATTGTCTCAGCAGCTTTACATGACTCTACCACACTGTACTTGCACTTGAGATGTGGAAAAATGAGCATACGTGTTTGCTCTGACCTTACATATTTAGGGTCTGGGCATGAGGGCGATGTGTAAGTATTAACATCCTCACACTGAAAATGTAGGAATAGTTGTTGTAATCATTTGGAACATCAGTGGGAAACAGCAGATTCTGATGGCTGTGAGACTCCCCACACGATCTGCGTTATGAGCTGTGCACAGTGCAAAGCAGGGCTCAGAGTACAGCGCATACACACACATAGGTTTGTGTCACCATTCACCAGTGTAAGCCAACTAGCAACATGAAACCTTTTTCTTCCTTCATGGGGTCACTTTCAAACAACCGCAAATCAAAAACTAAATACTAAGCACAGTGGCAGGGTGTCACTATGAAAGATTTGTAATGCTGAAATGGAAACAAATCAAACAGATATAAAATGATAGGAAATAAACATTTTATTTGATTTTTCTTTTGACGTATGCATCTACTGTGTTATTTGGAGAGTATATGTTAAATGTTATGTTACTTTTTGTCTTCAAAAGCCGAGTCAGTTCTCCGGTCACAGTTTTGGGGCAGGGCTTATTGGTAGTGACACTGGCCTTTCACATTAAAAGTTTTCTTGTGGACCAGCCAAGCAGACTGATGTTACTGCTACTGCAAACACTATTAATTATTAGGTACTGGCTCAGTTCTCAGCATGACATGCACTGCAACTTTGAACATATGTAGAAATTACCCAGAGAAGCTCTATGTAAGAACGCAAATGTCCCAGTCAGTTGGCCCAGACATTAAACAGACCTCACCCTGCTAGCTCCCTACTTTAAAATTCATGTACTGTACATAATGTTTGATTGGGCCCATGTGTGAATAGATCAACATATTATCTAGAGAATTCACACCAAACTAGTGCAACTGGCACAAAACCAGAAGAATATAAATATCTGAGAATAAAGATGAGTCATCTACCCGAAGACGGCAACGAAAAAGTCTAACTGGAGAAATGACAAGATTCAGAAACATCTGCCATTAAGGGCCCATGCTGAAACGACGAGAGACTGTTTATGACCAAATTACAAACCACATACATAAAGAGCAAATACAAATAAAGTGTATTTTACTTTATATATGTTTGATTTGTTTTAGTTTAGGCATTAAAATCTTTATTTCATAACATCTAAGTTGTGCACAATGCCCAAGGTACTGAAGAACAGCTGCAACATCTAGCATCTTTATTTTCTCCACTGATAGTTAATGTAGAGGCAAAGTGAGTATGCTGCAGAATACTGTATGTGTACAGGTCCTTCTGATGAAAAAGCCTCACCTTTCAGCCAGTGGTCCTGTCAGATGGAAGAGAAATGCAGTACAAAAACCACCACTGTCGGTAGTCTAAAATGCAGTAGCAGATCTCTTAGTTTTCTGTGGGTTGATAAGTATTCTTGGAAATTTTTGTAATCATTAACTGAAGAAAGAGCACACAGTGTGGTTCAGTCTAAAAGAAGGTCAACATGGAATCACAATTCTTTTAATGCACTGAGCAGCCTTTGTCCATGCTAAGAAAACAATGTGAGGGTTTACCTGTGTCAAATTTTTTTTTTTTCTCCGTCTAGACTCAGTGGCACCTTCTAGTTGTACTGTAGTGCTAAGCTAAACAGACCACACCATTTGCCCAGTCAAGCCTTAGTCCTTAATTACTAGTCTAATGCCAGACATACTGCACTTCTTTACTGTGTGTTCTAACTACTGTAGCTATATAGTCAGTGACAAAGATGCTTAAACCATGGGGGAAAGACATCTGTGTTAGGCTCTATGGACGCTGAAATGAGGTCCTGCATAAACACTCTCCTTTGTGTGGTGTTCTAGAAATGTAGTCCTCATATTTTCTACTTCAAATATATTACATGATCTCAGAATGGCAGTGATCAGATAATAAGGCTGATTATTAGTAAAGTTTATACAGGTGCTGACAAGAAGCAAAGGCAAAACTCCGGTGTCTTCAGATCTTCACTAGTAGTGCCTCTTTTTCATCAGATCATTGTGACCTTCCTCAGTGAACTTTATTACTACATTTTTAATGTGTATTGAGTTTAAAAGTTTGAATGAAAATTGAAATCTTTCAGTACATTTGGTGTGACTTGCACTTTTTCCACTGTACTATGTGCTGTACTATGTACCTGTGCTGTTAAAGTCCAGTCTTCATAGTATTTCAGAGCATGCAGGGTGAAGCTGTGATCATACAGAGCCTTTATATCTGTTACCCGAGAGTTAAACAAGACAGAAATATTCAGTCTAAACCAAGATAAACAACAGGATACAAGTATGTACAGCAGGAGGTAAAAATGCATGGTCTGTGGACCAGAGAAAGGTGCAGTATATGTGATTCCGTTCTATGAACACCTATAGTCAGGCCCATAGTCAAGAAAAGAAAGATTTGGACCTAAACTTCTGTTTAATGGAGACTTGAAAGCAAATGCATTAAAGTCCAAAAATCTGAGCTACAACCAATAAATAAATCAAATAGCCACAAGCAAAGACACACATCATACTTATTCAGTCCAGGCTTGGCCGCAACTACAGTATGTACATTACAGTGTAAACAACTTTTTACTGGTCATTCTAATATTTGAAAAACCCACATCTTGACTTGTGGGTTGACTACAGATTTGAGCTGAGGTGAAATGGTTGATCAATTAATTGAGTAATAAAGTAACAAAAAATAACTTTTATAATAATTTCAGTATTTTTTCATGAAAAATTCCTATCATTATGACCCTAAGCTTGAGACTTGACTTGCACTTGCCTCAAACGTCTACCATGTCTTAAGCATAATGACATTTTTGAGAAGTCTAGGTGTCTCCTGGTTTAACCTCCCTGATCAGCTTCATAGCTTAACAGAAATTTTCACCTCTGTATGTCACATTGCTCCTTCCCTCTGTAGATGCCACACATTTTTTATGAACAGATTTTTGGGTTCTGCATTATTAAAATTAACTTGAGCGACCACCAGAAAACACCAAAACTGCCAAATAAATTTTTATAAAGTATCAAGAAGTCATGTTTTCAGTGAGGGCCCACGTGATCACAACAGAAAACCAAAAGATTGTTATGGTATTTTGAATCATCCAGCACAGGTACAACACAGCTGTTCTGCAGTGAAAAGCAAACTGTAGTATAACACAAAACCCGATTTGTTACAGAATAATTTACTGTATGTGGTCTATATTTAGCCCAAGATAAAATGACTGTAAAAGAAGGATTAATTCATAAAGATGTGGATGTGGAAATTGTTAGTTCAGCCATCTCA